TCAAATTTTAATTATGGAATTGTTAGAAAAGAGAGAGTCTCAGATTAAAACAATAGATAAATCTAAGTCCTAAGATCGAACATCTTCGATAGGGATCGAATTGTCAGTCCGTGTTGACTCATCTCGCGATCTAGGTTCTGATCTTGTTACGTTTCGTAACGAGTGAAGACCCAATCAGAAAGCGGAGGTGAGTCGGCATCAACCTATCGGAATGTTCGGTCTGGGACCCAAAAAAAAAACTTATAAAACGGGCATTTTCAAGGACACGGAAAGCTTCTTCCCGTTTTCCTATTGTGCAGCACCATCCTCAGTTAAAAATCTCCTCTGCATCCCGACATCGAACCGGATTCCACTCGTCTTCTCTACGGACTTTCTCCAATCAACGCCTCGGGATCGTCGACTTCCCAAAAGGGACCCGAAAGAATCCAGTAGTTCCAGTAGGACATTCGCCTAAAAGAAAACAAATCGGAAAACTTGATTTCGCCTATGAATTGTCAACTGTTGTAGCTGTTACTTTTAGTTATAATAAACCAGGTAACTATTTGTAACTGTGGAGTTTGTCTCTGTGCAAAACGCTCCCACTCACGCTTCGGAGTGACTCGGACATGTCACACGCGGTTCGGCAACATCACACAAGAATATATGAATGAAAGTAATAAAACATATAAAAATTTTCACCAATTATGGAAAGAAATTTTCTCATTTTCGCAATTTTTAATATAATAAAACTGCACTAGAAAACTCATAACGCTAGGACGGTGGAGTTTTCCGGGTTTTCTCCACTCTGTAATGCCTGAATGGGGGCCAGTTACCCTTAAAAAAAACCTCCCGGAAGGCATCCCCGTAGGCAAATGCCCCAAGTGTTGCGTTACCGTAACTTAATAAACAAACAAACTGAACGTATAAATAAATATCAATTGTTATATTTGTGTTAATTACTTTGNGAATGTCTTATTTTTTCCAGGAAGAAGAATTCACATTTATTATTGAACAAAAAAATTTCCAAGTCGAACTTAGACGAGAGTGACGTATATCCGGTGTGTCGAACTGTCGCCTTTTTATAGCATCAACATCGGACTCGCTGACCAATTAGTGCTTACTGAACCGTAGCACTATGCAAATGTCATGTGGTTTATCAACCTTCTTGGCCCCCGAAATGTTTGGTGAAGAAAATATGGCCCGCGGGCTATGATAAGTTGGACAGCGCTGTTCTAAGACAAAAAACTTCCGTGGATATATGTGTATGTGTGTGTTGGCGTGTATTTCGCTTAGTATCTCACGACGGGGTAAAGATTATGAAACGACATTTGGCATGATGGCTTGTATATGAAGGACATTGATGCTATTAAATTTTGGTGGTTGAAGGTGGAGAGGGTGAGAAGATAAAAGAGTGTCATGTGTCATTTCTCGAAAGGGGTTGGACTTAATGAAGATTTTACTCGTTATTAACATTTATACTTTTTTTTTTAATAAAACTCACCCTCAAAATTAAGATTTTTGCCATTGTATAGGAATTAAAAATATATGATGGCGGTATACACAATTTTATTTTGCTTATTAATAATAGTTATTTTTTTTTAAATAGAAACTCATGACAGCCGGGAAAGTTACACAACTCTCGTTTTTGGATTTTGTATCTGATAATCACACAATTTATTCATAATTATTCAATATGGTATTTCAATCGAAATCCGAACCACAAGATAACTAATTATCGTTCAAAAAATTACTGCTGGTTCCTTTACTAGAACAACTATTAGAGCCAGTCAAATGAAAGTGGGCCAACTTTGTTTATTCCCAAACTGTTACCCATGGGTTAAAAGTAATGTACACCTAGCATTGAGATATTTGTGCCATTGAATAACGAGTTTGGTGATTTCATGCTCATAGATGTCCTTTGGTTTCTGTTTCAGAAAGTCTGTGACCATCTCCCGCACCTCTGCATCCGAAGTAAACCTGCGATTTTTCGAGTGCCTCTTCAATTCACCGACCATATAAAAGTCGCATGGTGAAAGGTCCAGACTGTAGAACTGCAATCGAGAATAAGCGTAGTCTTTGATGTCCTCTTGCATGACAATGCGAGACTTCTCATTGCCAATATTATGACAAGCTTCAGAACTTCAAATGAGAAATTCTGTAGCATCAGCATTACTTTCATGTACTCAGTGAATTGAAGAAGTACCTGAAGAATCGCAATTTGGACAGTTGATGACGGCCGGATGGCCGAGCGTTTAAGGTGATAGCTGCTTTGAAGGACCCATGATTGAATCCGAAAAAACCTCAGATGAAATTTTCGAAGGGTGGTCCGTCCGTACATGTGACCATCCGGCCGCCTCATTGTAGTCTTGGTGGAACCCATAATGGACTTGCTTAAAAGACCCTCTTAGTGCCCACAGAGCGAAAAGATTTTTTTTTTATTAAAAAACCTATCTATAATATTTTCTGACAGTTTAAAATTTCGTTAAAATTCTTATACCTTCGGAGCGGCTAGGTCCTAATGGGGGGGTCCTTTGCCACATTTTGCTTAAGGGATTAAAACTTTGGTATCCACACAGAGCTTCCATATCAAAAATTGTTTTCAACCATCTTTATTAAGTTATATTGAATTAGTATAAAAGAGTAATAAATTTAAAATGTATGGATTTGTATGTTGTGAAATACTTATTTTAGAAGAATTTACGATTTCACAAACTTCCTGTATAATTAATTACATCTAAATATACTTTATAACAAGCGGTGAATCATAGAAGGCGAATTTCCGCAACTGTTCAATTTTTAAACACACGTGAGTCAGATATAACCGTTAACAAATATACAACAGAAATATAATAAACAGAAAACGTCCGAAGATCAGTAACCTAAAGTGAGAATGAGTCAATTATTTACATAAATATTAACTAGGAAGTAGAATAGAATTTATATAATCACGTTTAATAAATGTATTTTTTTTTGGCAACATTGTCATATCTGTAACAAAAGCTAAGTTCTTTGTCTTTGCACTTTTTCAGTCGATAATTGGATGCTTCTAAATAGTGAGCAGTTAAGAAAACCAGTGAAACACTATGCAATTGGTTTGTTTATTCACTTGGAAGCATCCTTTTGTTTGCTGGCATGCTCCTCTGCATCTGTTTCTTTATTTAGAATTTTAAAATCTCTGCATGAAAGCATATATTTTAAATTTAATAAGCATTGCATTATAGGGCTGCAATTTGAAAAAAAAAATTGTAGACCTATAAATTTCTACTGTCGTTCGTCTGTCTTTCTTTAATCCCGAGAACGGAGTTAGATAGATGAAAGACGAGACGATATATGGGCAGGAGGTCTCGATTAACTGTATAGGCCTACAAACTTCCAGTGCAAAACGGAAGTCACGTTACTTCAATTTAAAAATATTTCAACAGCCTTCTTCATTCGAATAATGTATCTATCCCTGTACCAGTTTATTCCCTTTTAATATATGGTGTGTTTTTCTACATACATTGCCAGTCCAGCAGTAGACTGACCGAACTCCAGTGAGAAACGAGATCCGATTTATCCGGAACAAACCACCCACGAAAATTTCTGAGGTTTCAAGACCCGGACTCGAACCCGAATCTTCCAGAGCGGAATGACTCATCTATTTGCATACTATTTAATAGGAGAATGGCTGATGCATTTTTGAGCCATGAAGAAGTTTTGAAAAACGATCCTATCATAGCATCATAAATTCTTAGATGTAAAATTGATTGAAATTTATTTTCACGTTACTAAATTGTTACTGAAATCTCTTTCAAATTTTAATTATGGAATTGTTAGAAAAGAGAGAGTCTCAGATTAAAACAATAGATAAATCTAAGTCCTAAGATCGAACATCTTCGATAGGGATCGAATTGTCAGTCCGTGTTGACTCATCTCGCGATCTAGGTTCTGATCTTGTTACGTTTCGTAACGAGTGAAGACCCAATCAGAAAGCGGAGGTGAGTCGGCATCAACCTATCGGAATGTTCGGTCTGGGACCCAAAAAAAAAACTTATAAAACGGGCATTTTCAAGGACACGGAAAGCTTCTTCCCGTTTTCCTATTGTGCAGCACCATCCTCAGTTAAAAATCTCCTCTGCATCCCGACATCGAACCGGATTCCACTCGTCTTCTCTACGGACTTTCTCCAATCAACGCCTCGGGATCGTCGACTTCCCAAAAGGGACCCGAAAGAATCCAGTAGTTCCAGTAGGACATTCGCCTAAAAGAAAACAAATCGGAAAACTTGATTTCGCCTATGAATTGTCAACTGTTGTAGCTGTTACTTTTAGTTATAATAAACCAGGTAACTATTTGTAACTGTGGAGTTTGTCTCTGTGCAAAACGCTCCCACTCACGCTTCGGAGTGACTCGGACATGTCACACGCGGTTCGGCAACATCACACAAGAATATATGAATGAAAGTAATAAAACATATAAAAATTTTCACCAATTATGGAAAGAAATTTTCTCATTTTCGCAATTTTTAATATAATAAAACTGCACTAGAAAACTCATAACGCTAGGACGGTGGAGTTTTCCGGGTTTTCTCCACTCTGTAATGCCTGAATGGGGGCCAGTTACCCTTAAAAAAAACCTCCCGGAAGGCATCCCCGTAGGCAAATGCCCCAAGTGTTGCGTTACCGTAACTTAATAAACAAACAAACTGAACGTATAAATAAATATCAATTGTTATATTTGTGTTAATTACTTTGTGATAGACAAGGAAACTATATCGCTTCCTATCTATATTAATGTACTTGATAAGTTAATTTATATAGAAAATTGAAAGACTAATAAAAAAAATATAACAGTATATTTTTCTTATAAATACAAATCAATTAAAATGCAAATATTTATACTTTTGTTGACATTTTATTTATTTTTAAATTGTTGGATTTAATAATTTTTACACACTTTTCACGTGTTACTAATTTAAATAATAATATTATAAACATTAATAAATTAAATATTTAGCCTAAAAACAATACAGTTTTTGGACACAAAAAAATTTATTAAATTCGAATTTAAACAATTTTTAAATGGTGCTATATTTTTATCATTATTTTTTTTATCTTTGATAATTAATCTTCGAGAAGATTTAAATATTTCTGAATAAATAAAGGCAAAGGAAGCTTTGGTATTCCATGAGGAAGTTGCCAATTTTCATTGAGAACGTTTCTTATCGTACATCTCGCTAAATGTTTCAACGGGCACGGCTCTAAATAACGATGGCGTAACGACTCCAGAATACCCGTATCCATCAATTTGTACATAAAATTTCTATTTCTTTCGTTATCGGCCTGATAAATAATCAACTCGATCGAACGTTTTTGCAATTGACCCGAAGCTCTCAATAGGAACTTCAAGCAACTCAATATTTTGAGAGAATTATCGTTTTCCAAAGCCGCATCGATATCGTCGTCTACTGTTTCTCTCAGCCTAGATATAAGTTTTAACAACACAATATATAAATCCGCGGCTTCGAAATTATCCAAGAAACTTCTCAGTTCTTCGTATTTTGGGACGAGTCTTGCACCGTATTGTAATAATAGTAATAGTAATTGGGGTTTGACGAGAATTGCAGCCAGATAGCACGGAGCCAATCGAGACGGATATTCGATACAGCGATCGACAAAACGGGTGCCACAAAACGTCATCCTGACTTTGTTGGCGTGGTAAAGAAAAAAAGAAACTGTGTGATGTTCTACGAGATACGCGTCGTGTTGTTCGGGAGTCAACAGCCACTGTCCCACAGACAACGCGTTGTTGGAGTATATACCGGCGTGATTGAATATCATAGAGAAATGTCCTTCGGAGTGAAATATGCAATTGAGCACTTCGGCTACCAAAGACGAATCCTTGACATTCCAATAAGTGCACACTTTGGCCATGTGATAAACGACGAGCCTTTCGAAATTTTTATCGGCCGAGATATTGCCGTGGATTCTCTTCCAAGAATAATACAAAGTGAGAATCTCTAGAAGAAGTTTTTCTCCCGAAAACTCTTTGACGTCGTCGGAATGGAAAGATTGATTGATTCGAGAATCTAGAGCCATAGAAATGTGGCGATTTTCGATTGTGTCTTCACCTCTTCTTCTTTGGTTTTGCATATTCTCAATTCTTTGTTGTTTTTGTTAAAAAATTTTCCCTTGTTGAGTTCTCTTTATTAATTCTTATTGTTTAATCAATTGTAAATAAAATGTGGATATAATCTATTACGATCAGCTCTTACGAAAGTTTTATTGAGCTTAAGTAGTATATACTACTGGATTTATTATTACAGGAAATAAGGTTATAAAATTTTATGACAGTAATGTACAGTCTTTAGTAACTTGCCTACTACAGTTATATAATGTACAGTATTGCAAAGTCTTCCGGATATCGAAAATATTCGTTAGTTATCATTTTTCTATTGTCAAGAAATTTTTAATTACTTTTTCGAGACATTTTTTTTTCTAATTAGTGAGGGTTTTCTGTATTTTATTAAAATGTTTTCATGTACAGTACAGCATCACTGAAAGTAGGAGAGGTTCGCTCGTTTACAAATGTACATTCTCATTGCCCTCGAAATCCATAAAATTGTATCAATAAAATCAATGAAAACAGATTTTTTACAATTCATCATTATAAATTTACATAAAAGACAAAATTTCGAGGCCCCACTGTGTCAATAGCCTGGACTAAAAGGCTCTTTTGACACTCCTTTTTAAGCCTGAGTGTTAAACACGATTATAAAATATTTTATTGGGCTGCAATTTGAAAAAAAAAATGGTAGACCTATAAATTCCCACTGTCGACCTTTTGTCTGTCTTTCCTTAATCTATATAACAGAATTATATGGATGAAATCCGAGACTAGATATGAAAACTGTAGGGGCAGGAGGCCCCGATTGACTATATATGAACTTCCGATATTTACAGGAAACGACGTTATTTTAATTCAAAAATTCTTCCCCCNCATTAAAAAAATAGGTTTTATTTCTCTTAGTACACAAGAAATGTAATGAATAGTTTGTAGAAGTCAGGCACTGATAGGGTCTGTTCTCTATGCACTTATTCTTCAATAAACTTAAGATATTTCTTTTGATTTTCTTTTATATTACGTTAGCACACGTGTTTATTATTGTTTTTCTTAATCAAAATTACAAAATATGGATGAAGATTTATGTAGACGTACATTAATAGACATAAAAATAGTTGACAAAACTCGTGCAATATCATTTATTATTTGAATTATTCAGATTCTAGTGATATTGATATCAGTTTTATGGCCATTTCCTTGTATGAATTATATAAATTACTAATATACATACGTAGTTGATTCAGCTTTCTTCCGATTTAAGTCAGTAAAAAAACTGAAAAAAGAGGATAAAAAAAAACCTTTGAATCATCAGTGCAATATCCATAATTCTGCATATTTTATATTTTTAAATAATTTAATTAATTATATGAAATTGTGATGTGCAGCCAATTAACTAGCACATACTGACGAGTTAACAGAGGTAAAGAACTGCCTCTCTGGAGGATCCGGGTTCGAATTTAGGTCGGAAATTCGGAAATTTTCCTATATAGTTTGATCTGGATGCAAGCTTGGCTTTAGCAAATGTTGAGCCCGGTTGTGATCATTAAAAAAAGAACAATAATTAAATTAAGCAATAAGATTGCTAGTAAATTTGTGCAGTGCAACAATGTTGCTAACTCGGGGGTTTTTTTTGAGGACCTCCTTTCCTTCGTTATTCGGCTACTAGATTCTGGGCCTGGCTGAAACTACAGTGAGGATGTAAAAAAAGGCCCTGTTAGTATCCTAATCTATCTTTTAAAATCTGTAAAATATATGAAATTATGTAACTTGTTCATATTAATAAGTAGACAAATTCAATTCGCATTTAATTTAATAACAACGAATACAATGGCGGAGCCTTAGGTAAAACGAAGTTTAGAGCTCATCCCCTCCCACATCCTATACTTATAATAATAAAAAAAATTAAATTTTATAAGGTCAAATGACGTTAATTGGTCTTAACAATTTGTGTCAAATATGCTCAGGGGAATAAGGCAAGAGTAAGAGATAAAATAAACACCCGGGGCCCCCTTAGAATTGAAGGCCCTAAGCAAATACCCTTTTTTACCTATGGTTTCAACGAAGATTAAAATCACTTGAAGTAAACAATAACAATTTTTTTTAATAGTTTGTTCGTTTAAAAACTAACCAATAATTTACTTCATTAAATAATGATTATATTTTTCTCTCTCGATGTTACGTTAGTTTTTATTGGCGAATAAGGATAAAAACATCCCGCTTCTTATCTTACACTCATCCATCATGTAATGTGTTGGCCATTCTCAAGACCGCATACCGAGATTTAACTACTAAAGTAGTTAAATCTTGATTCAAAAAGACCTCCGCATCGTAAGTTCTTATCTTACATTATATTTTTCGTTAGAAAAAAAAAGATTTAAAACGAAGATTATAATCTAAAAATTGATTTGACGTTCTAATTAAACTTTCTTAAAAAAATTAGGTTTCTTTTATGACTCATCAAATGTGTTCTGAATACACGATCGAGTCTTGTTTTCTTATATGACCTTGTTTATATTCTTATTCTAGAGCATAGATATAGAGAATCCGGATTTATTCGGGCCTCGAGCTCGGATCAAATACAGAGGGCCTAAAAAATTTAATCGTTTATATAATAACAATGATATAAATCAAAGTTTCTTTTATTTATTCTATTCTTTTATGGCTTTCGTGGGGCCTCACATCTATTACCTTACCTTACTTTAACCTTAACTTATCTATATCTTGTTCTATACAAACATCCTCTTTCTTTCAAATTTGATGTCGCTATTCCCAATTATTTTACAATTTATCACGTTAAAATTAAAATTTATATTATATTTTTCTTAAAATTGAAAAACAATTTAATTAAATTTTATATAGAAATTAATAAAACTCTTCTTCTTCTTCTTCTTCACACTAATTTCTAACAGATTTAAAGGGGAGTCGAGTTATGGTATTTTTTAACGCTCTTAATTCGTAAACTCCAATATTTTTTTTTTCTTTAGAGATTTTAATCATGATTATGAAATTAAATGAATGCCATACAACAAAACGCCTTTTGTACGTTATCACTTTTTAAATTCTATGTTTATGGTAGTCATAACAGATGTACATTACAGTACAGTTGACAAATAACAGAACAGAAATGAACACGTAGCTTCATTTCATTAAGCTGAGCTGACATCTTTTATTTATATAATAAGCCGATAGAGAAATACAGGGCCTTTTTGAGACCCAAATATTTTAGAAAATATAAAAAATAGCATTAAAAATGGCTTTATACATTTAAAAAAATAGGTTTTATTTCTCTTAGTACACAAGAAATGTAATGAATAGTTTGTAGAAGTCAGGCACTGATAGGGTCTGTTCTCTATGCACTTATTCTTCAATAAACTTAAGATATTTCTTTTGATTTTCTTTTATATTACGTTAGCACACGTGTTTATTATTGTTTTTCTTAATCAAAATTACAAAATATGGATGAAGATTTATGTAGACGTACATTAATAGACATAAAAATAGTTGACAAAACTCGTGCAATATCATTTATTATTTGAATTATTCAGATTCTAGTGATATTGATATCAGTTTTATGGCCATTTCCTTGTATGAATTATATAAATTACTAATATACATACGTAGTTGATTCAGCTTTCTTCCGATTTAAGTCAGTAAAAAAACTGAAAAAAGAGGATAAAAAAAACCTTTGAATCATCAGTGCAATATCCATAATTCTGCATATTTTATATTTTTAAATAATTTAATTAATTATATGAAATTGTGATGTGCAGCCAATTAACTAGCACATACTGACGAGTTAACAGAGGTAAAGAACTGCCTCTCTGGAGGATCCGGGTTCGAATTTAGGTCGGAAATTCGGAAATTTTCCTATATAGTTTGATCTGGATGCAAGCTTGGCTTTAGCAAATGTTGAGCCCGGTTGTGATCATTAAAAAAAGAACAATAATTAAATTAAGCAATAAGATTGCTAGTAAATTTGTGCAGTGCAACAATGTTGCTAACTCGGGGTTTTTTTTGAGGACCTCCTTTCCTTCGTTATTCGGCTACTAGATTCTGGGCCTGGCTGAAACTACAGTGAGGATGTAAAAAAAGGCCCTGTTAGTATCCTAATCTATCTTTTAAAATCTGTAAAATATATGAAATTATGTAACTTGTTCATATTAATAAGTAGACAAAATTCAACTCACATTTAATTTAATAACAACGAATACAATGGCGGAGCCTTAGGTAAAACGAAGTTTAGAGCTCATCCCCTCCCACATCCTATACTTATAATAATAAAAAAAATTAAATTTTATAAGGTCAAATGACGTTAATTGGTCTTAACAATTTGTGTCAAATATGCTCAGGGGAATAAGGCAAGAGTAAGAGATAAAATAAACACCCGGGGCCCCCTTAGAATTGAAGGCCCTAAGCAAATACCCTTTTTTACCTATGGTTTCAACGAAGATTAAAATCACTTGAAGTAAACAATAACAATTTTTTTTAATAGTTTGTTCGTTTAAAAACTAACCAATAATTTACTTCATTAAATAATGATTATATTTTTCTCTCTCGATGTTACGTTAGTTTTTATTGGCGAATAAGGATAAAAACATCCCGCTTCTTATCTTACACTCATCCATCATGTAATGTGTTGGCCATTCTCAAGACCGCATACCGAGATTTAACTACTAAAGTAGTTAAATCTTGATTCAAAAAGACCTCCGCATCGTAAGTTCTTATCTTACATTATATTTTTCGTTAGAAAAAAAAAGATTTAAAACGAAGATTATAATCTAAAAATTGATTTGACGTTCTAATTAAACTTTCTTAAAAAAATTAGGTTTCTTTTATGACTCATCAAATGTGTTCTGAATACACGATCGAGTCTTGTTTTCTTATATGACCTTGTTTATATTCTTATTCTAGAGCATAGATATAGAGAATCCGGATTTATTCGGGCCTCGAGCTCGGATCAAATACAGAGGGCCTAAAAAATTTAATCGTTTATATAATAACAATGATATAAATCAAAGTTTCTTTTATTTATTCTATTCTTTTATGGCTTTCGTGGGGCCTCACATCTATTACCTTACCTTACTTTAACCTTAACTTATCTATATCTTGTTCTATACAAACATCCTCTTTCTTTCAAATTTGATGTCGCTATTCCCAATTATTTTACAATTTATCACGTTAAAATTAAAATTTATATTATATTTTTCTTAAAATTGAAAAACAATTTAATTAAATTTTATATAGAAATTAATAAAACTCTTCTTCTTCTTCTTCTTCACACTAATTTCTAACAGATTTAAAGGGGAGTCGAGTTATGGTATTTTTTAACGCTCTTAATTCGTAAACTCCAATATATTTTTTTTCTTTAGAGATTTTAATCATGATTATGAAATTAAATGAATGCCATACAACAAAACGCCTTTTGTACGTTATCACTTTTTAAATTCTATGTTTATGGTAGTCATAACAGATGTACATTACAGTACAGTTGACAAATAACAGAACAGAAATGAACACGTAGCTTCATTTCATTAAGCTGAGCTGACATCTTTTATTTATATATATATAAATATTCATTTAGTTCAGCCAAATGAAGTGATACAATTATTATTATTATTTTTTTTTTAAATTTTTTTTAAGGAAGCTCAAGCTATTTATTCTCATTAACTCCACTGTTGAAGGAATTATATTTGTCCTATCTTTTCTTCACGTTTCTAAAACTAGACCCTTACTTTTAACATAAATAAATTCCTAGTGCGTGTCACCTTTCAATTAACAGTTCCATAAAACAAAAGAATATGTTTATTTTGTCCTTTTATATATAGAAAATAATATTTATACAATATTGAAAATGTTAATTGAGAATCTGGACAATGTCTTAACTGACTAGACTTTGAAGGAATGGATTATTTGTAGCGTTAAATCGAATTTAAAACGACGTTGTAACGAATATTTCATGATAGATGATGATTAAACTATGCTACTTTTTTACTATAAAAATTCTAATTTATATAAACGAAATTTTTAATTAAATAAGTAAATTTTTTTATTTATTTATCTAATACACTAGGCGCCTACAATTTACAAATATTGACAATACATAATGAACCATATCCTGTTTCTGAACAGTGATGCCTTTTTAACTAATAAATACTTTAACATTGTCTTGAATATATTACAATGGTTTCTATGTTAAAAAAAATTATAAAATTCTTTATAAGAAACCGCATTTAAATTCTAGAAAAGTACCAAAAAAAAAAAAACTTTTTCCTGAGGGATTCGATACGCTAGAACAAATACACGTTACACTCATTTTAAAGCCAATTTAATGAGATTATATTCGAAGTATAATAATATTTAAGCGTTAAATGACAAGATAATTATAATTAAAACAGATTTTATAACTTATGATATCTGTTGAAAATCAATTTAAGTTATAATCTACACGTGTAAGAACTTTTTTCCCCCCTTCCTAACAATAAGCTTAAAGCTAGGAGCTACGAACATTAGTAATTTAAACCACTTGCTACTTTTTTTTTTCTTCAGTTAAACAGGAGCATTCCTTGATAGATAACTACCGAAATGTCTTCAAATTACATATTTAAACTGGTTAATAACAAGGTTATAATATTACAAGGCTCGTAATCGGCGTAAAAATACGAGTTACACTTTTAATAATTATTTATTTTTTTTTTCGGTAATTATTTGCTCGTAGTTAATGTAAATATTTAGAATTAAAAGTCTTCTGGACGTCTAGAATTATTTCCTGTTACCATAAAAGGGTTGATATGTGTGGTTATTATGTGTTCAATTGTCGAAATCGTTTAACACACGCTCTTTGTTCTATTGTTTGACAGTCGTGACTTAAAAACATCGGAATTATAATAATAATAATAATAATATTAATCGTAAAAAATCATTTTTTCTTAAGATTATCGAGTTTTATAGAAGGTCAGCTTTTATTTTAAATATGTTTCTGCAGTAATTTCGTATGCAACTTAACTGTACAGGATGTGATGACCTCTTTGACTCTATATATATATATATATATATATATATATTAAGAGTTATTCGAGCGGAAATTTGTACGTACTAAGCGCTCCACAGTATAAAAAGTATACTGTATTCGTTTATTATATAAATATTATGATATTGACCGTACACGCCGTACATAAACGAGCGTGTATAATAATCTATACCAGCGATAAGGTATCGTTAAATTAATATTTAACGAAATAAAATGTTTACTTAATATATTATTATCGTTATCGAAAAAGTTTACACATTCCGATTATTTATAATATTTATAGAAATCGTTTTGTTTTATTCTATTTTATTTTTTTCTTATCGATTAGAGAATACAATAAGCTACTGTATTATATACACGTTAAAGCTCAAGTAGTAATGACATTTTTTCCCGCTAGAGTTCTATCCAATCGCAAAGTTCAGAAGTTGGCCGTACCTGAAGTTCAGTCGAGGTTGATTCGGGGTTTGATGTTTAAGGTGTGAGAAAAAGGAAGATAACAGGTAAAACATCGATTTTATTAATTATTAAAATGTATTAATTAATATAAAAATAAATCGAACTTATAGTTTATTTTTAATAATTTATTTATCTACGTTTTATATAATGCCGGTTAAATATCGATGAAGATTGAACAGGTATAGAGGGTGCGGTCGTGGGTCAAGATGGCGACGTTTTGAAAACAAAATTTAAGCTCGCCTTAGTGTTTACGCTTCCGTTTTCGTTTCTGCTCGATTATCGTATTGAATATTTCCGAACGGAAGTAGCTTTATCGCTTTTTTAAAGGTGTGACCGCTTCTTCCGATCGTTTTAATCACATAGGAAGTCATTCGATACGAAGATAGAAACAGGTCAGTGGACTTGGTCTAATTCACTATATCAAACTTTAAATTAGATTCCTTATAAGGAGGTTTTTCGGCGTTGTAACGGTTTATTTTCGCGTATTTTTACGTACGCCGACACTTTAATAACGTAATACATGCTTTAACGTTACGAACCGTTAATTTCCCTGTCGTGGATACTTGACGAATTCTTTCCACAAATTAAACTTACAGTAATTATCTAATGATAATTTATTAGATAATTGATATAAGGAAATCCAAATAGGCTAAGGCTGAAATTATAAAGCAGACATTCAAAATAAAAAAAAATAAAAAAGTGTTGAAGGAAATGATCTGTTTCATTTACAAATATTTCAATTCTTGTCTGGAAAGAACATTTTAAAATATCTCTACAGATTTTTTTTGCTCTGTGAATTAGTTTTATTTAATTCCAAAGATTAACCTTAATAGAGCGCGATTATTCTGTTTCGGTGTAGTGTCATCTTTGTCTCCAGTTTTTTTTATAATGCCGAATGAACTATTAATCAAATTTAATGTCTAATGAGGCTATATACGGAGAATTTTTAATGTAGGTCTTATATAATTCTTATAAAATGAAAGTTTCCTCAATTTTCCTGTCAATATATAATTCATAAAGTAATTAAGAGGTAATAGGTGTGTAAGTAGATGATAAATAAACAAATTTTTTATTCGGATCGTTCCCCGTGCCGAAATTTCGTCTGTTGTCGACGATGATGTTAATTTTATAAATCGGTTTGTTACTTTAATATATATTACCCTAATTTAAAGCAATTAGTAAAAGAAGTTAATGATTTTAATATCTGTTTTTCAAAAATTCTAACTCTATATTCTAACTTTGAAAAATTTCGAACTCTAATGGTGGTTCTCGACCTTTCAGAGGCCGTGGAATATCATTCATACACTTTTTATTATATGAAGCATTAGCATCAGTATATTCAAAAATTTTTAAGTGATTCCTTGTTTAATATTCTCAGGAAACAATGAAGCAATAAACTAATAAGCTTTAATGTATTGAATAAAATAGAAACATGGAGTTGTCTACGAATATGGTAATATGTTGTACATTGGAATAAATTTTCATTAAAAGCTTTAAAATCTTTTTCTTTTTTGTGGAACACTTGAGATAGATTTGCAGAACACTGGTTAAGTGGTCATTTTAAATTTAGAAATATTTTTGTTTTTAATAAAGAATGAATTCATTATTAATAAACTGAATGAAATTTCTTCCAGAATAAACTATTTTAAAATGGTAGGGCTTAATATGAGTATTTGATACTGAAGATCATTAATTTGACAATTGAGAAGAAAACAGATTTAAGTGAAAAAATTTCAGTAATTGTTTTGATAATATCCAGATATAATGGATAAATAAAATTAGGTTTCTTTAGTAATTAATTATACATGTGAAAATAATTGAGGTAATTTAATTCTGTCATTTATCACATATCCAATTTTTTTGTTGAAAAAATCCATTATTTATTTGTTATATTTTTATTTCATTCTGTTGAATTTGATAAAATTATGGATGGAACTTTTTTCTCAATATATTTTTCAAGTTATGTTATCACCACAAAGTTATTTTAAAAATGCAATTGATAAGATGATTTGCTTTTAAGATATACATCCATAAGCATTAAGAATACACATTATAAAAATATATTAGCAGTTTAAATTTACTATTTTATTATTATTAGCATACTGTAATTCTTGATTTTCTAAAGAATATTGTACATTACATGTTGTGATAGAAACAGGATCACTTACAGGGAGAGGCTAGGAGGTACAATTAGTCCTCCGACTTGTGAGATTTGTTTCAATCTTTGTTTTCTATCAATACTTCTTTTCTAATAACAATTAATTTTATAAAGTAACAGCATTTTCATAAGAGTAAAATTATTTTAATAATAGTTATAATGAAGTAACTACAATAGCACATGAAGAGATATCCCCTCTAGTTTGCTTCTAAGCCATGTGTAAGAAATATATTATTTAGAAGACTCCGTGATTTTTAGGTTGTTGGAGGAGTTTTTAGTTGGTTTTCATATTTGTTTATTATTTATTTTCATGAAAATAATCAGTATAAGTAGAAACAAACATGTTTAAAGAACATGATTTTAATGAAGCAATTGATTGGTTAATTGATTTAAATCATATTTTTCCTCTCAGATAAAATCCTGCAGACACCTTTGGATTGAAATTACATTGTATACTGATTTACTATAGTAGAATGTCTATTGGAATGATTATTTTGTTATATACAGAAGAGATTATCTATAAAAAGAAAATTGTATTTATTATATAATAAATTGTCATATTTATTAGTAACTAATATAATAAAATATGATTTATTTTATAAACATATATTATATAAGAAAAGATGATAAAGATTTTGACAAACAGGTTATTAAAGATAATAATCTGCTTAAATGCTAATTTTGACAGTTATAAGTGAATGATTTGATTTTTTGAATAAATATGACTAAATACTATAATAATAATTTTTATCAGTTTCTTTTAAAGTTTAGATATTTATTTTGTAAATTTACTGTTCATCAAAATTTCTCCAAATTGTAATGTAGTAAATTATAAATAATTCCTTAAACGAATATTAAAATATAGGATGTTGGTTTATTATGCCTTTAATGATTTCAGGTAATTTATAAGTTAATATATTCAATTAACTCATTAAGAATTTATAATGTAAATTTAAAGTTTTACTTAAAAATGTTATGTTGTATGTTAATTAATAATAAATGAATTTTGAATTGAAAAAAATTATCCAGAAACATTTAACTTTTTTATGATTGGAAATTTTTTTCAATTACTCAGTTCTGTTTTTAAACATTACAAGAATTAACTTATGAAATTTTATTTTGAAAATATAATGATGAAATACTTTAAACTTTAAAACTCTAAACAGTTGAATTTTTGTATATTTCAAAATAAAAATTCTTATATATAGTATAAATAAATTCATATTCATTACATTTCTAAATTTTTCACTACATTGTCCAGTGAAACTATTCACTTTAATATATTTATATGAAAAGTTATCAATTATATTTCTTAAATATAACTTAAGGTAAATGATAAACTTTGTTAAAATATGAATAACCTTATATGTTATATTAAGATTAATATCTTAAATGAAAATAATCATAAGTTATTTTCAATTATTAATTAAATTTTAAATAACTAAAATAACATTTTAAAAATTCCATTAAAAATAAGACTGCTTTCATTATATTAGTGATATTTTCTATTTTGTTTAGAATTTTTAAATTTTTATTTAGATCAAATTGTACTCACTAACATATAGCACTCTTTTCTTAATGAACGCATAAATGCCATTGATATGTAGTTTAATGGGTTGGGTTGGGAGGTCAGTCTTAGTTCTTATAAGGACAAAAGTGAGTCATGAGTTACTCCTCTTTGAAGAGTTGATCTTACACATTTTACTGTTGATATTCAGTTCCTATTTCACATTTTGTAAAGATTCTATTGAATTAATATGTAAGTAAAATTTCTTTTGATAAAATTAACATGTTAGAATTTCATTTGACTGTTTGTTATAGGAGATGATGTAAGAATTATTTCAATACAATATAAAGTTTCTATTATGATAATTTAAATATTAAAATGATTTTTGCTATGCTAGAAGTAAGAAAATTAATAACAACAAAAAAAAATTGTATTGCTTGATATGATACAGCCTTAATTTTTCCTTTTCCTTTAGAATAATTTATTAATTATATTAATCACATAGACATAGAAATATTTGATATTCTCATTAGCTGAAATTAAGAATATAATTGTTAGAATGAAATAAAATTAATAATTGCATGATTACTATAGTTGATTAATGCATCCTTTGTGAAAAATATTATACTTTATTAGGAAAATTAGTTTTATTTTATAGATTCATATTCAGAGTTAAACATTTTAACAATATGAATAAACCTGTAAAATCAGTTTAATTAATTAAGGATTATATATATATTAGTAACTGTTCATATTTTTCAATATACTTTTATTATTCATTTGACCAAGTTCAAAATATCTTTTTACATTATAAGCAAATAATGTATTCTTTTTTAAGTTTTATTTATGTTTATATTTTAATATTTTCATACAATATATAGTTTATATTGTAGAATATTCTATAATTATGAGAATCTATCTTTAATTATATTGTAACTAACTATTAGAAGTTAGTAAGGAAAATTCAAAACTTTGAATTAAATAATGTTCAAGTACTTTAAGTTGTCTAACACACTCTTTTTTATTGAAGTAGCTTATAGTGATTTATTTTAATATAACAATTAATTATATTATATAAAATAATTTACATACTGTACATATTACATAAATAAAAATGAAGAACTATTTTTATATCTTCATATCATCTAAAAACAGTTTTTTCTTTTAATGATTTATGATTCAACACAACAAAATATTTGAAACCATAAAAAAACAAAGTGTATTTTGAATGAATGGAGCCAATTTTCCTTGTAATGAAGGTATTTAAAACTATTATTTTATAGAATCTAATTATTCCTAATTAACAGATTCCACATGTAACTTGATAATGAATACGTAATAACTCTAGAAATTAATGTATGTTTTCGTAAACATTAAATTAAAAATCTAATTTTTTTTATTTTGTAGTTGGAGACTAATTTTGATTAATACACTGAGCTGTATAAACAAATGATATATTTTTATTCTTTAATATATTATCATTTTTATTTCAGATGACACACAAAAATATCAATTCAAATTATCAAAACATTTAAATACTGAATGCTTAGAATTTAAATAAGCTGTGATTTACTATTAGAAAATAATGATTACAGTTATGAGTATTTGAAATATTATTAAAATGTGATTTTTATTTAAAAAATTCAGACATTATCAAACAGGTTAATGTGCTAATAATCGTGTAATATATTCTGTAATAATGATGAAATTATCACTTAGTTCAACAA